ATTTCCTGTAGCTACTCCCCTTATGCATAATTCTATCTCCTCTTTTAATAAAGTGTTTCTTGTTTTACTGCTGGGTACATTGTTCATTTCTATGACTTTGGGACCCAAGAGCCTAATTCGATAACAGGAACACTCAAGCAAGAGCTGCGGGAAACTATGGGATGGAGCCGAGTGTGGCCTCTCCCAGCTCCAACCTGGAATGGGCCTTGCTGGCTCCTTCTGTAGACGCTTCAGCTGCCTGTGCATCCCCCGTCACAGCTGGGACCTCTGCCCTGTTCTCCCAGCCCAGGAGCTGCCTGATCCCTGCTGTGTCCTCAGCCCAGGGCCGGGTACATAGTGGGTGCCTTTAAGTGACGGGTGCAGCCACAGGGTGAGGGTGCTCCTGAGGCAGGACTCTGATTACAGGAGGAGCCTGGCATTCCCCGGAGCCTCCCTGCGCCCTCTGCTGGCCTCAGGATGGGACACATAGCACTCTCCTCTGTCCCTCCTCCTGTGGTTGACTGCACACCTACCACGCCCCTGGCGCTGTGCTGGGCATGGGACACACGGGGGGGGGGGGGGGCAGGCAGACCCGCCTGCCCTCATGGGCTCCCATGGAAGCAGTCAGTTACTACCCAGAGTGCTGTGATAGGGGGTACCCAGGTGGCTGTGGGAATCACAGGGGGCTGCCTGGGCAGCCAGGAGGGCTTCCTGGAAGAGGAGGTAATGTTAACTGAATTTGTTAAGTAACAACTATGCACCAGGCACCAAGTTAAGGTGTATAAGCAGAATCTCTGAATTCTCACAAAAGCTCCATGAGGTCTGGGTAAACTGAGGCTCAAGGAAGGAAAGTGAGGCCCAGGCCCACCCCCCACCCCAGCTTCTAATGCCCCTTAGAATAACAGTCAGACCCTCCCCAGGCCTCGAGGCCCTGTCCGATCTGGACAAGGGACTTCAACTGTTACCTCTCACACACGACCCTTCTCAGTCCCTCCACCCAGGTCACCCACACCCCTCGACACACAGCCAGTGTCACACAAGGTGGAGAGGCCTTGGAGGCACCTCTCTGCCTGCCATTTGTAGGGTGCAGTTGGGGTTGGGGTCTTTTCTCCTGCCAGAGTGGCCAAGGGGAGGAAGGGGTTCCCATCAGGCTGCTGGGAGTCAGGACACACCACCCCAAAATATGACTCAGGAGACTACAATATGCCACTCCAAAATACACCTCGATCATTTCAAGCTGGTCTATTTTGAGCAACTGCAAACCCAGCAGTGGCTCTGAAAAGCTGCCCTTTTGTAAAGGAAATTGACGTCTATAAAGGGAATTTTCACTAGGAAAGGTAACTGTACCAGAAAGAGAGCTACTCCAGGAGGACTTTTACCACCTGAGAGATTTCATCTGCATGACAAGGCAATCTGTGGCTGCCTTGCATTTCTACCCCTCAACTTTCCTACCCTGTCTTCAGAAGCCCCAGCCCCGATTCCTCTCAATAGCTGGGATGATACGCAACCCTCAGTCATCTGGCTGCTTCTTTGAAGCTCATATTTTTGTGGGACTCCCATGCATATGTATGTAATTAAATTTGTTTTCCTCCTGTTAATCTGTCTTAGGTCAATTTAATTTGTAGACCAGCTGAAGAACCTAGAAGGGCAGAGGGAAGCAATTTTTTCCTCTTCTGCAGGGCTAAGCAGGGAGAGGATGTTATTGGGCTTTGAGGAAGGGATCCCCCAAGTAAAAAGGACCCACAAAAAGCCACAGCCCCTTCCAATGGCCACAGGAACATCTATATTTACACCTGGAGCTGCAGCCACGGCCACTTCCCCAGGGCAGCGGTCCCCACCCCAGGACCATGAAAAGAACTGGCCTGGCGGGGGAAAACCCATCCAGCCGTGGACACCTCCACCAGGGGTGCAAAGACCCTGCGTCCTCCGTGATTCCAAGACGACCCCCGCACCATGGAACCCGTGTTCCCCAAGACATTTTCCTTCTTGCTGAAGCCCCTCTGGTTTCAAAGTTGTTGTTTTTGGCAGCTGGCCAACAGAGGGATCCAAACCCATGACCTTGGTGTTATAAGCCTTCACTCTAACCAACTGAATTAACCAGCCAACCCGTCAGAGTTTGATTCTTAGAATGCCCAGAGCCTGGAGTGTTTTCATTCCTGCTAAGGACAGACATAGGGGATAAACTTGTTCTGTTTCTGCTCTTGAACCTGCTCAGCTCTAGGGAAGCCAGCCTGGGTTCACACTCCAGCCCCTCCTGTCCCTAGCCATGACATGGGTGACAAGGGGCTTCAACTGGGTGAGCCTCAGTTTCCCCATCTGTAAAAGGTGACAATGGCACCCATGTCAGTGTTGTGGGGATTTTGCACATGCTAAGGGTCAACACAGATCATGGTCTAAATCCCAGTACCCACACCCCCACACCTTGCTGTGTGACCACTGGCAGGTTACTCAACCTCTCTGTGTATCAGAACAAAGGCCCCTGATCTTGAGAAAGAACACTCAATGCAGAATTCCTCCTTTCATTATTCATTCAGTACAGACTTAGCAGCTGCCACAAACCAAGCACCATGTCCTCCATGAGGACAGAAAACCCAGTGATGTGGGTCCCTTCTGCCCACTGACACCTCACCTGAGGGTGACCCTGGCAACACCAACCTCACACAAGGACACACAGGAAATGTCATATTTCAACTGCTTTATTTGCTTTCTGGGGTGTCAAGTTTGGGGTCTCCCAGAGATTAGCCCCAAGCAGAGTCCAGCAGACCCTTCTCCACTCGGGGATCCTGGCACAGGGGTTTCAGACAAGGCACTGGCAGGAGTGCTGGGGGACAGGGAGAGCCGCACCAAGGCTGGGGGACCAGGCCCTCCTCTGGGGACAGAAAACACAGTCAGCTTTGGCAGGAAGGGTTTTCCCTAGAGAGAAATTTAGGACAAGATAAAAACCTGAGATGTTGGGGGAGTCCCAGCAACAAGCTGGGTGTGCCTCCTCTGCATCCAGCCAGGATCTGGACACTGCATGCCTGGGCAGGTGAAGAGTCCAATTCAAAAGTGGCTCTCTATGGGATTTCCTCGAGACAAAGTGTCAGAACCAAAAACCCCTGGGCCTTAGACCCCACCTCCGTGGATAGCTTGGGTGACTGGGGTCCAGGCAGTCAGGAGCCACAGCTACCTCCCAGTATCAGAGTCCTGAGCCCCTTTTCTGTGCCCCATGAGCATTTGAGAGGCAGGCACTTCGGGGGTCTCTGGATGACTGGAGGGAGGCTTGGGGGAGAGGAGGAGGAGGAGCAACTCAGAGGAGGACTGGGTCTGGGAGGCATAGAGATGGTTCCCCTCCCAGCCAGCAGCCCCAGTCCTGATGAGGCACTTCTGCTAGGAGAAGGGAATTTAATCTGGGTTATAAAAACAAAGCCCTTTTTGGCTCCCTCATGTCCGTGGATGCCGTGGGATTCACAGCCACACGGGGTGACCTGGCACTGCCTCCAGGACCACCACCAGTGCCCCCATCAGAGGCTGGCTGCAGCCTCCCCAGGGCTTCCAGCAGTATTGGGGTAGAGGCTAGGCCACAGAGAAGAATGGGGCTTTGTCTTGATGTCCCTGAGGGGAACTTCTGGGTTCAGACACTGCAAGGGGTGGGGAGGTCAAAGGTCCACAGTCTAGACAGTGGCAGCAAAAGAAGGCTGGCTGTGACGGGCAGATTTCCACGGGCAGCCGCCGTCCCCTGCCTGGTCACCCGGGGGGGGGGGGCACAGGCATGTGGGGGTATACACACCAGCTGGTCTGGCTTCCCGGCAGAAACTTCTAAGACAAAAAGGCACTTTGAGTCTACTTTTCCAGTCTCCTTACTGCCCCAGAGGGGATCCTTTTTGTTCTAGATGTTTCCATGCCAGCAAAGAACAGGGAGGGCAAGTCCCTTCTTTGCTGAAATTATTGCAATCTGACATTTCCCCCAAAGATCTGGCACTGATGGGGAAGCTGTGATTTCAGACCCTGCCAGGCCCTGCCTCTCTGAGTGGCCTCAGGGATGCTGGTTGCTCCAGCCTTGACTGGAGCAGGTGGCACCCCATTCAGTTCACCAACTTCGAATTCCTGCTTCTCCTTGACTTTTCCTTTCCACTCTGTCTGATTTCTTTTTCTTTTTTTTTTTTTCCTTTTTGTCTTTTTTACTGACCGGTAACGGGATCGCAACCCTCGGTGTCGCGCCCGTACCAGGGACTGGCAACGGGATCGCAACCCTCGGTGTCACGCCCGCACCATGCTCAGCCAGTGAGCGGGAACCGGTCTCCACATGGGATCCGAACCCTCGGCGGGAGCGCCGCTGCACTCCCAAGCGGCGCACTCTCCAGTGCGCCACCGGGCCGGCCCTCTTTTTCTTTTTTTAAAAGATGACTGGTAAGGGAATCTTATCCCTTGACTTGGTGTTGTCAGCACCACGCTCACCCAGTGAGCCACAGGCCGGCCCTCTGATTTCTTTTTCAAGCTACATACTCATGCACGTGCTACTAATCTTCTTTTCATTGGAGGGGGTGCTGAGGGGGCTGAGGGAAGGTATAAAGGTGTATAGGTGTACAGCCTTTGGCATCTTAGAGAGACCATCATCAGGCTGGTCAGGGCAGCAGGTGCCTGATCGCTGTCCTACCCCTGTCCTCCCACCTCAGCACCCTCTGCACGGGCTCACGAGAGAAAGGCCCCCATCTGACTCCCTACAAGACCCCCCCAGCATCCCTTCTCACCTTTCCCCCACCAGCCTTCCCACATCCCTCAGCTTGTCTTTCCACTGTCAACACTCCTAGCTCTCTCTCCAACACCTGCCAAGGTCCACCCGTGTCACAGACCTGTCCCTCTGCCACTGCCCACCTGAGATTCTGAAAACGAGAGGGGAGAGGGAATGGGACTTGGTCCCCCCACTTCCCACACAAGGCTGAGACCCACCAAACGCAGACACACATGCCATGGAGTGAACAGATGAGTTTAACCAAAAGATTTTTTAAAAAATAAATAAATAAGAAGAAGAAAATGAAAAGTTGGCAGGGAGTGAGTGAGATGTTTAATGGATGTCTGATTCAATAAAAATAAGTCAAATGCTGTGCATCATGGAGGACGACAGGACCCCAGCTTGCCTTGATGAGGAAATGCTAAAACATTGCAGGAACATGAAAATGACACACACTCACTCGACCATGATCGGACAATAAGTTATCTCTCTAAAGAGCTAAGTCACACAGTGCTTTAAACACAGAGGTGAAATGAGGACAAAAGGAAGATGAGGATGTGGAGTTGGGGGCAGGCGCTCGGCTAAGCTGGGCTGTTCTCACTCCCAGCCCATCTTCCCTCCCTGTCTTGCCTGGACCCATTTCCTCCCCTGAGGCCCACAGATCAGACCTTTGAGGAACAGAGCTGGCTGGAGCCTGCAGTTGTTCTGAATGAGACCTCTGTGGGGATCCCCAAGTCTTGAGTTCCCCACATTCAAAAGAGCCACAATTTCTATTCACGAAGCTGGCTAAGCAGATCCAGTGATGTTTTACACTTTGGATTTCTCAGGAGACTAAGAACTTGGGGAACTGGAGGGGGTGTTTCTGGCAGAGGGAGGACCGGCGTGGAGGGGACAGCAAAATCCTGCTCACTTCAATCTGCTAGCCACAGTCCATACCCACTGCCAAGCATTGACCTCAAGTCACCCACCTGCCCCTCCAGAGAAAGCCCAGTACTCAGAAAACATGTTTCACAGAAACCCATTAACCTGGTTCCCAAAGGCTCCAACAAAGGCAGAAACCTCCCCAGCATCAGAATGGGTGGGAAGGGAGGTGAATGTGGATGAAAATAAAACAAAAATCTCAGTTGTTTTTAAAAGAACTGGGTGTTGGGAAAACACCAGTATAATTCAACACGGAATCAGAGTCCAGCCCATGCCACATTCAGGCGAAACGGTAAAATTGCGTTTCCTCCAAAAACAGAAAATGGTTTCTGAAATGTGCATTGGACTCAATTGGTTTCCTTGTTGCTGTGATCGCCCTCTCTCTCATGGGTGTCAAGGTCCAGCTAAATTTAGCTACCTTGGGGGGACATCACCCTCATCCCTGCCCGGTAAGTTCAAAGTTGCCAGGGAGTGAGATAAAAATTTACTCCTGAGTCTTGGGCGAGTCTCCGAAAACCATCTACATAAGGATCCCTTGGCTGCCCTGGCTCCCTCCTGCTCAAACCTGCCAGGACTTGAATAGCTCAGCAAACTCCAGCCCCCACACCCTGTTCGTTTAGAGGCCCCCTTAAGGAGAACGAGAAGCTTGTCCCTGTAAAAATCCAGGCCAGATGTCGGGTGGGTTTTCAGCTGCTGACAAGATCTGTTCTCCTGCCTAGGTCCGGAGGCCCTGGGGCTGAGCCTTCAGACTCCACACCTGGGGCAGTGGCCTACCCTGTGGCCTGGCCATGGGCCCTGCCCCCTGGAGCAAGTGAGGCTCATTGCTGGCCCCGAAACAAAGACGTGGCATGTTAAGTCCAGTTTTGGGGGCAGGAGGCGAAACAGGCTGCACCCCAGAAAAAAGAAAAGACACTTCTGTTGTTGGCTAAAGCCCGAGATTTAACCGAAGGGAATATAAATTAGTCTGTGCCCAAACTAGCACTATTGTTTTTAAAAAGAGAAAAAGAAAAGGAAAAAAACAAAACAAAACAAAACCACTCCATACCCCAAGGCGGCCCCTTCTGGGCTGTCGGAACACAGTTCAGGAGAAAGACTCTTCGTGAAGCTTTCAAATCTGGGAAAAACCAGTCTCGGATAAAGTGAGCTCCAGAATTCCTTCGTCCGCAGAACAAGTGGCCCCAGCCGTGGGACTGTAGAGCATAGATCCACCTGACCAAGATTCCCTGGAAGTCTGGACCTGCTGGCCAGTCTCCCAGCCCCAGAAACTGTGTCCCCAAATGCAAGGGGAAATAGAGGAAAGGTCTTCAGCTGCCTCCTTCAAATCAACCACAGCTTTCGCAGAGGAAAAGGAAGAGGAGGTGTGTGAATCAGAATATTTCATTCAAATCGGATCCCTAGCTGACGGGCTTGTCTTTCACAGCCAGGCCCTGGAGGATGGAAGTCCCTCTTGGGGTGCCTGGCGGAACAAGGTCTTGGGAGGCCTGAGAGGCCCTCAGTGTTTGTGGCAACAGTTGATTTTGCCTTCTGACTGTTCCAGCAGGTCCAGCATCTCCTCAATGATGGCTCTCAGGGCCCTGCCCAGCTGGTCTGCATTGTATGGCTTGCCCAGGGGCGGTACATGGACAAACGCTGATCGGCCGTGGCTCTGGTACAGGGAGGTGTAGTAGGTGAAGTCGCAGAGGTACCTAAGCCACCGGGCATGGGGTGCGGGAGGGAGACCAAAATAGGATCAGAGTCAGTACAGAGACCAAAGGGACAGAATGGACAGCCTCCATCCAGACCCGAGAGAAGACATACAACCTCGCCCGAAAACATGCAAGACGTATTACCACTTCTCCCACCCTGGGCTGCTAAACATGAAAAAACTTGATAACCCCCAGTGCTGGTGTACATGTGGAGAAGTGTGCAGGGTGAGATGTTCCTGTTGGGAATGCCACTTGGCTGTACCCCTGAGGAAAGCGATTCGTCAGGCTACTAAAATAATAATTGTCCAGGCCTTAAGACCTAGAATTTCCAATTTTTGGAATCTATCCTCAGGGGCCATCTTCACAGAGAAGGATGCTCACTGTAGCATAATATATAATGCAGAAAAACAGAAAGCAGGGCTGACCCCGTGGCTCACTCGGGAGAGTGAGGCGCTGGGAGCGCAATGGCGCTCCCGCCGCGGGTTCAGATCCTATATAGGGATGGCTGATGCTCTCACAGGCTGAGCATGGTGCGGGTGACACCAAGCCAAGGGTTCCGATCCCCTTACCAGTCGCAAAAAAAAAAAAAAAAAAAAAAAAAAAAAACAGAAAGCAACCTAAATGTCCTCTATTGGGGAGTAACTTAATAAACTCTGGTTTATCCACGCAGCAGGATACTGCAAAGCCGTTTACAGGGAACACGGTAGAGTCAAAGGAAAATGGAAAACTCGCCAAGATGCATGTTGAGTGCCCCCAAGTGAAAACCAAGGATGGGAATCCCTGGGAAAATGCACACCATGTGACCCCTCCATGTACAAGCAATGCCAAACAAGAAAATCCTAAACCAGCACACCGAGTGCTCTCTCTATATGGGAACACGAAGGTGAGGAGCAGGGTTCATGGTTTAAGCCTCCAACTTAGCAGAGAGAGAGAGAGGGCAAGAGAATTTTTCACAATGAGAATGTATGTGAATACATTCTAGAATGATCTGTGGTATTAAAAATTAGTTTTAAAAAGAGATTGGTGGTAAAATGAGGCATGCCTTCAGTCGGTCAGTCAACTGAATTTACCATTTGCTGCCTTTGAACAGGACAAGTGCAAAGCTTTGAGAAGCAGAGGTAGCCAGTGCTAGCGGGCATAGAACAGAGAGGACATAACTTGGTCTGGAGGGTTGGAGAGACCTCCCCAAGGAGATGACTGATGTGGGAGCTAAGACTGGAAAGAGGAGTTATCAGAGGGAGGCGAGTTTTCTTTTTTTTTTTTTTTTTTCCTTTTTTTTTTTTTTTTTGAGACCGGCCGCACGGCACTCAGCCAGTGAGCGCATGGGCCATGCCTATATAGGATCCGAACCCGCGGCGGGAGCGCTGCTGTGCACCCAGCATCGCACTCTCCCGAGTGCGCCACGGGCTCGGCCCCAGAGGGAGGCGAGTTTTGAGAAGAGGCCACAGCACGTGCAAAGGACCTGAGCCTAGAACAGGAAGAGGCTGGTTTGTGTGTCTGGAGGGCAGCAGGTAAGGGGAGAGTGGAGGCGGATGAGAGTAAAAAGGTGGGAAAGAGCCAGACCACACACGGCCTGTGGATGGTGCAGAGAGGTTGGGATTTTGTTCTGGGTGCAGTGGGAGCTGTAGGAAGGAAGGATTAAGCAAGAATGGGATATCATCTGATTTAAATTACTAAAAGGCCTTTTCTACTAGGTTGAATAATCTCCCCCAAAATTCATGTTCACCTGGAATCTCAGAATGACCTTATTTGGAAATAGAATCTTTGCAAATGTAATTAGGTAAATTAAAATGAGGTCATCCTGGATTAGGGTGGGTCTTGAGTCTAATAACTGGCATCTTTAGAAAAAGGCCATGTCTGGGCCGGCCCGGTGGCGCACTGGAGAGTGCGCCGCTTGAGAGCGCAGCGGCGCTCCCACCAAGGGTTTGGATCCCATGTGGAGACCGGTTCCCGCTCACTGGCTGAGCACGGTGCGGGTGCAATGCCGAGGGTTGCAATCCTGTTACCGGTCAGTAAAAAAAAAAGACAAAAAAAAAAAAAAAAAA